GCAATATACATAGAGAACCCTAAAAACTCCACAGAAAAACTAATCAAAACAATCAGCTTAGTAAATTAGCAGGATACAAAACCAACACAGAAAAATCAGTCACATTCCTATATGCAAGCAATCAATCTGAAGAAGAAGAAATCAAGAAAACCATCCCTTTTATAATTGAAACAAAAAAAAATTGCTAATAAACCTAACAAAAGAGGTGAAGGACCTCACAAAGAAAATTATAAAGCACTGTTAAAAGAAACAGAACAAGACAGAAAGAAATGGGAAGACATCCCCTGCTCGTGGATTGGAAGAATCAACATCATTAAAATGACCATCCTACCAAAAGCAATGTACAGATTCAATGCTATGCCAATAAAAATCTCAATTATATTCTTCAAAGAAATAGAACAAACATTGATGAAATTCATATGGAGCCACAAAAAACCTCAAATAGCCAAGGCTCTCCTGATGAAAACAAAGGAGAATGGAGGTATCACACTCCCAGACTTCAAAGTATACTATAAAACCATAATTAAAATAGTGTGGTACTGGGAACAAAAACAGACACACAGACCAATGAAGCTGAATAGAAAGCCAGAAATAAAGCCGAACATATATGGACAACCAATATTTGACAAAGGAACAAAAAAATTGCAATGGAACAAAGATCATTTGTTCAATAAATGGTGCTGGGAAAACTGGACCATCACATGCAAAAGAATGAAACTAGACTACTACTTCACATCATGCACAAAAATCAACTCAAAATGGATAAAAGATCTGAACATAAGACCTGAATCCATAAAATATATAGAAAAAATATAGGTAAAACATTGTAAGACAAAACTTGTTCAGTTTTGGTATTAGTGCAATCTTGTCTTCATAAATTGTAGTTGGTAGTATTCCTTCCCTCTCAATGTTTTGGAAGAGTTTGTGTAGGATAAGCACTAGTTCGTTTTGGTAGGATTCATTTGTGGAGCCTTCTGGTCCTGGGCTTTTGTTTTGGGGTAGGGTTTTGATTACTGTTTCAATTCGACTGCTTGTAATTTGTCTGTTTAGTTGTTCTATTTCTTCTTTATCTTTCTTTGGATGATATGTAGCTCTAGGAATTTGTCCATCTCTTCTAGATTATAGAACTTGTTTGCATATAAATGTTCACAGTAATCTATGATTATTGCTTTGATTTCTTCTGTGTCTGTTGTAATTTCTCCTCTTTTATTTATGACCCTATTTTTTGTGTGCTTTCTCCCATTTCTTTTTTGTGAGCCTGGCCAGGGCTTTGTCTATTTTCTTTATTTTTTCAAAGAACTAACTTTTGGTTTATTGATTTTTTGGATTACTTTTTTAACTTCTATTTCATTTATTTCTGCTTTGATTTTTATTATTTCCTTTCTTCTACTGGCTTTTGGGTTTTTTATTGTTCTTTTTCCAGTTCTTTAAGGTTGGAGATTAGGTTGGTTGTTTGAGTTCTTTCTTGTTTCTTGATGTGAGCCTGTATTGCTATATATTTTCCTCATAACTGCTTTTTTTTAATATTTATTTTTTAAGATTTATTTATTTATACAAGCACTGGGTACAGTCAGAAGCATGGAGGGTGAGAGAATTCACCAGAGCCAGAGCAGGGAGCAGAGCAGGCAAAAGGACCGAAGTACACTGCTGAGGGGAGCAGCAGGCGGCAGGAGAGGTCTGCACGCTATATGGGACCCTTCTCTGGTGGCCGGGGAGCAGCCGGGGATCGAACCGGCACTGCAGAGGCTGCAGGCAGCTTCGCAACCCAGCGCTCAACCACTGCACCACCAGGGAGGCCCATAACTGCTTTTGCTGTGTACCATATGTTCTGGAGAGATGTGTCCCCATAGTCATTTGTCTCAGGTATTTTTTAATTTCTTCTTTAATCTCCTCATTTATCTAATGGTCTCCCAGTAGTGTAGGTTTCAATCTCCATGAGGAAGTAGGGTTCTATGCATTGTAAGTGTTTCTTCATTTTTTTTTAATTTGTACTGCTCTTTCCTTTATTTTTGTTATTTTTATTTCTGTATCTTCAAGAGTACTCATTCATTCTTCCACTTCTTTCATTGTATTTTCATGGCTTTCCCCCAAATTCTTGAGCTCCTCTGCTAATCTCTGGATATCCTTGAGTTCCTTCACTTTCTCCTTCAGCTCATCGATTACATTCTTATCTCTTTCTGAGTTTTCCTCTTAACTCTTTAATTGTTTTCATCATGGCCTTTTTGAATTCTTTGTCTGTTAGGTGGAGATATTCTTCTGTGTCCATGTTATCAGGTTCTGGAGTCTGACTTTATTTCTGTGGTATATTGTTCCCAGAATGGCATGCTTGACCATTCGTAATTTTCTTTCTTCCAATTGTTAGCCTTGGACTTTGTTCTGTTCATAGTGCCCCTGTACCACTGTTCTGGTAGGCATTACATCTTATTTCTCTTACTCAGGCATGGATGTGTCTCTCTAGTGTCTGAGTAGATGTGGTTGGTACACATCTGGACACTCTTCTATTAGTAGGTGTTGTTCTGAGCTGTGCTTTGTATTAAGAGCCCCAGCTTTTCTGGCTCCCACTGCATAGATGGGATCTGATATCTCAGCTTGTGGTAGCTGAGAGTCTCATGTGGAGTAATGTACCTTGAGACACACGCTGAGGCCAAGTCCACTGGGAGGTGCCTGGAGTCTGGGTGGTATGTATTTCTCTGTTCAACTGCTATGACCCTCTAGGCATGTCTCAGAAGAATACCAGGAACAAAAAGGAGAGTAAGAAGGGATGAGAAGAAAGAGGACGACAACACAAAACGTAGAAGGAACATCCCTGTGTTTATAGCAGCACTATTTACAATAGCTAAGTTTTAGAAGCAACCCAAATGCCCAAAAATAGATGACTGGATCAAGAAGATGTGGTACATATACACAATGGAATATTACTGAGCAATCAAAAAAGATAAACACATGCAGTTGCAGCAACATGGATGGAGCTAGAAGGGGTCACGATCAGGAAATAAGTCAGAAAGAAAAAGAAAAATACCGGATGGTATCACTCATAGCAGGAATTTAGAAAACCTAAATAAGGGACCAGGAAAAAGACTAATTAATACAAAGTAAAATCAAAATCAACAAGCAACTATAAAGCAGAGATACACTATGGGAGGCGGGGAGAAGAAGGATTAGGGTCAAAATAAGGGGGGTTGCAATTGTATGAAAATGCATACATTGTGCAAAAATGAAAAATTATTAAGAATTATATAAAATACAATATTAAAAAAGAAAACTGAAAATATACATTGCTCTCTTTTAAATAAACTCTTTGTTGACATATTCCAGTAACATTAAGAATTTATGTATATGCTTTGTTATATAATAATATAAATATAGAGCATATAACTCTCCTAAAGTTGTATTAAAAGCTAATGGCACAGAGGTTAATGTCTTAGCGCTATCAAACTATTGCCAGCTACTGCGGCATGAGTTAGATCCCTGTCCAGGGAGCTCACCCACATGTGGCAGCAGACCTCTCCTGTCTTGCCTGCTGCTCCCCTCAACAGTATATTTCGGTGGATCTGCCTGTTCTGCTCCCCATACTGGTGAATCCTCTCAATCTCCGCACCCCCACCTCTGGCCTAGACCCCAGTTCTTGTATGCAGAAATAAATACAATAAATCTCTTTTTTTTTTAAGACAAAGGTATGTTACTTTCTGTAGAGGCAGGAAGGGCACAGAGTAGGTTTCCAGGATCCAAGCAGACAGTCTTGGAGCCCTCAGTGGCTTTCTCAGGTTTTTATTGAGCTTTACATGTAGTGTGGCAAACAGGTACATAGCAGGTAGGGGTGCCCGGGTTCCAGGAGGCCAAGAGGCCTCTAAGCCCCCAGCAAGTCTTCCCTCTGGGCTTCTCTGGTGTTCTTTCTCCCCTTCTCTCTCCTGCCTCTCTCCTCTTGGTGACTCTCTCAATACCCCTCCCATGGCCCACAGAAGTAAACAACACAGTTTGCAACAATGTCACAACTGCAGGTGCCCCATCAAGCAGGGCAATCCTAATGGTGGGAGGGCAGAAAAGTATGAAAGCCATTTACCCTATACTTTCTTTATAACAATACTCTATAGACTGATTCCAGTAATGGCAAGTATCTTCACTTAGAGTTGTATTGGAGAACATAACATACAAGTTGTTTTCTTTCAAATTACTACCTGGAGATTTGTAAAACTAAAAATATTCTCCAAGAGTTGTTTTAGAATATCAAAGGAATGAGTTCCTTTTTCCAAAGAACTCTATGTAGATTAACATATCCCAGCAAAACTAAGCATTGTCTCTAATATTTGTATCGAAATTGAAGCTATAAGTTCCTTTCCTTGAAAAATTCCACTGAGTGTTGTGAGATAACTGAAGAGATATGTTGCTTCTTTCAAACAAATAAATTTGTAAAGATAGTATAACTAAGAATCTATACTTGGTACTGAATTAGAAAATGATAGCTATGTTATTTTCTTTCAAATAACTCTGTACAGACATTTGCAATTCATAATCTCCAATTAGAGTTCTATTATGAAACCATAGATATTAAGTTGTTCTCTTTTATATTTTAAAGATTTACTTATCCATGTATACAAGAGCTAGGATAGAGGGGAGAGGTGCGGGGATGGGTAGGGGGGTGGGGGGGGGTGTCGGCGAGAGGATTCACCAGAGACAAAGTGGGGAACAGAACGTTCAGACCCGACGGAAGCGCACTGCTGAGGGGAGCAGCGGGCAAGCTAGGAGAGGTCTGCTGCGCCATGTGGGTTGCTCCCTGGCTGGCTGGGGATCCAACTAGTGCTGCAAAGGCTGTGGATTGCTTCATAGTGCGGTGCTTAACCCCTTGCGCCACCAGGGAGGCCCTGAAACTATTCTAACCTTAAACCTAAATTATAATCTAAACTAAAACAGAACTAACTTTAACCATAACATTAACACTTACCTTAATACTAAATCCATTAGTCCCAGTTTTGCAGACGTGGAACTTAGAAAGAAGTTATTTATTTACTGAAGTTTGTGCCACTTGAAAGTTAGAAGCTAACAGGTAGGACTTTCCTGGTCAAAACCTCATCCTGAAACTGCACCCTGAATCCAAAGAGAATCATTGCTATATGTTGGATCAATACAATCAAGATACTACTGGCCATAATTCTTTATGTCAGTTTCTTACCTTTGGTCTTCTTTTATGTCCACTTTACCTGGATCCTTCCTAGGAAAGCAAGCAAAAATGGAAGAAAATTATATAGAAGAATCATCATATCCCCCACTTTCTGGCCCACGTTTACTTAGCAAATATTTATTGAGCATCTACTACCAGGCCAATTAATTGCTAGGTGCTGCAGCTAAGCAGTTAACAAGACAAAAAAATTCTTAGATAGAACTGCAAAATTAATAGATTCTTATTTATCTACCATTTTAATAATTTTATTTCTAGTTGAAATAAACTAGAAATAAATATTTCTAGTTGAAATATAATTGAAATAAAGATATAAATGGAAAAAAGGAAAGTCCACATAAAACTGTATTAGAAAACTGAAGATGTAAGTTGTTTTTGGTAATAAGTTACTGTTAGTAAGAATAGGCTTAGAGATTGGGTAAATTTAGATTTAGTTTTGTTAGGGTTAGTTTTAGGGTTTGGTTTAGATTTAGGGTTAATTTCAATCAGTTTTTGGTTATAGTTAGGTTTAGGCTTTGAATTAGGGTTTGGGTTTGCACTAGGTTAAGGGTAGAGTTAGTGTTAGGATAAGAATTAGGTTTGGGTTTAGGATTAGGCTTAATATTAAAATTAGATATGCACGTAGGTTTCAAATTATAATTTCAATTAAGTTTAATGGTCAGTTTAGGGTTGGTGTTAGGCTAACTTTAGGGCTAGGTTAGGGCTAATGTACAATTAGTGACAGGGTTAGGAGCAGAGTTAAATCTTGGGTTTTGTTGATCTTTGGATTAAAATTATGGTTAGGGTTTGGATAGCATTAGAATTAGATTTCTAGTTAGGTCATGGTGGGGTTATATTTAGGGCTGATTTTATGAAGGGTTGTTTTTATGGTTACCTTTAGTGTTAGGTTTAAATAGATGGTTAGGGTTAGGTTTAGGATAGTTTAACCTTTAGGATAGATTGGGTTGTGATCATGCTTAGGTTAGTTTGGATGAATTAAGGATTGGGGCTTGAGGTTAGAGTATGTTTTAGTTTAGGGCTATTTTGTAGGTTTATGGTTAGAGTGAGTGTTAGGTTTAAAGTCACTGAAGTTTAGTTTTAAGATAAGGGGTAGGTTTAGGTTAGGTTTAGTGATTGAATATGGTTAGGTGTTTGTTTAGGTTAGTGTAAGGTAGCTTTAACTTTATAGTGTTAGGATCAAAGTTAGATTTAGGGACAAATGGGTCTATGATTGGTGTTTGAGTGAATTTAGAGTTATGGTTAAGGTTAGGTATAAGTTTAACTTCCAGTTAATTATTAGAGGAAGATTTAGTTATAGGGCTAGGTTTAACATTAGACTTTGTTTTAGGTTAGTATGAGATTGAGTTAGATTTTAGGTAGGGTCAGTGTGAGTTCAGTAGTGTCAGTATCCATAGCAGTATGGATAAGTTTAGAATTTCTGTTTATTTAGGTTTAGAGTTACAGTTAAGTGCTAGTGTCAGTTTAAGGTTAGGGCTAGATTTAGAGTTAGGTTTAGGGAATAGGTGTAAGTTTGTGGGTTTCATTAGTATTATCAATAGTTTATGATTATGGTTTAGGGTTAGGTTTATTGTTAGGGTTAGTGTTATGAGAATTAGGGTTCAGAATTAGTGTTTATGTAAAATTTAGGGTTTAGTATTATGGTAAGTGTTAATGTTATGGCTAAAGTTAGTTCCATTTTAGTTTAGATTATAATTTAGGTTTAAGGTTAGAGTAGTTTCAGGGCCTCCCTGGTGGTGCAAGGGGTCAAGCACTGCACTATGAAGCAATCCGTAGCCTCTGCAGCACTAGTTGGATCCCTGGCCAGCCAGGGAGCAACCCACATGGCACAGCAGACCTCTGCTGGCTTGCCCGCTGCTCCCCTCAGCAGTGTACTTTGGTCAATCTGCCTGTTCTTTCCCCACTCCATCTCTGGTGAATCCTCTCATCCCCCATACCTCTGGCCTCTACCCCAGCTCTTGTACCCACAAATAAATAAATCTTAAAAAAAAAAAAAAAGGTTAGGGTAGTTTTAGATTTACTGTTAAGCTTAAATACAGGATTGAAGTTAGGGTTAGTTTTAGATTAGAGTTAGTAATAGGGTACATGTTAGGCTAAGTGTTTAGGGTTAGTCTTAAGGTTTGTGTTAAGGTTAAAGATAGGTTTATGGTTAGTGTCTGTGTGAATTTAATATTAGGGATAGGGTTTATTAAGATTAGGTGTTAGGATTATCCATTTGGGGTTAAGTTTAGGGGTAGTGTTAGTGGTATAGTTTAACTAAGGATTATGTTTAGGATAAGGCTTAGGCGTAAATTAGGATTAGGTTAGCATTGGGGTTAGGGTTTGTGAGTGTTCTATTTAGGGTTAAGGGTAGGTTAAGTGTTTAGGGTTTGATTTAAGGCATGGTTAAGGTTAGGGTTGAGGGTTAATGTTAGGGTTAGGGTTTAGATTAAGTTTTGGGGGGCCTCTCTGGTGGTACAGGGGGTTGAGCAAAGCGCTGTGAAGCTATCCACAACTTCTGCAGTGCAGGTTCAATTCCCGGCCATCCAGGGAGAGACCCACATGGTGCGGCAGACCTCTCCTGTCTCACACGCTGTTCCCCTCAGCAGTGTTTTAGGTCCATCTGCCGGTTCTGCTCCCTGCTCTGTCTCTGGTGAATCCCCTCACCCTCCCGCACCTCTGGCCTGTACCCCAGTTCTTGTAAGCATAAATAAATCTTTTTAGATTAAGGTTTGATCAGGTTTAGGGTTAGGTGTAGAGAAAGGTTTAGAGTTTTCTGAGTTTATGTTTACAGATAAGTTAGAGTTGGGTATATGGTTAGTATTAGGGTTAATTTTGCTGTTTAGCATAAGGTAAGGATTTCAATTAACTTTAATGTAAGGTTTAGGTTTGATAGAAGGATTAGATTTAGAGTCAGGATAAACATAGTTACAGTTGCATTAGGGTTAGGTTTAGGATTAAGGCTATGTTTATATCAGGGTTAGGAATGGGGTAGGGTTAGTATTATGGCTAAGGATACAGTTATGTAATAAATTCAGTTTTAATTTATTGTTTGGTTGAGAGTTAGAGTTAGATTTAGCACTAGCCTTTGTTTAGTGCTATATTTATTTATTTATTTTTCATTGTAAGATGATGAATGTTTACTTCATTTTGTTTTAATTAAGTTGTCATGTCTTGTCTTCCCCCACATTTGTTGTTTTCTCAAACACCATATTGTCTCTTTTTTTATGTTTTTTATTTAATACAATTAAATTTAACAATTTTCTTGTTTGTTAGTTTTGATTTATGTGACTAATAAGAAATTTCTTATATCAATAACATGTTTTTTATTATAAAATTATTGTTTAGTGCTATATTTAGACATTTAGAATGTGATCAGGATAAGGGGTTAGGGTTAGGAGTAGAGAGCTAGATTTGGGTGAATTTAGGTAGGATAGGGATGGGTGGTTGGGTTAGTTTTTGGGTTAGGTTTAGGATTAATATTAGGGTTAGGTTACCATTAGGTTTAGGGTTAGGGTATGATTAGTTTTAAGGTCAATTTTGGGTTACTGCTACATTTAGAGTTAAGTTTGTTAAGGCTATATAGTCAGGTTTATCGTTAGGGTTAGAAATAGGGGTAGGATTATGCTTATGTTTAGGGCTAGCAATACAGTTCTGTTCAGTGTTATAGTTAGTATTAGGTTTAGGATTAGCATGAGGGCTATTAGATGTCCATAGCAGCATTACCCGCAAGATCCAAGTCATGGAATTTACTTTGAGAAATATACTATTTACCAGAGGCAACGGTGGGAAGGGAGGAGGATTAGAAAAAAGAAGGGGATAGAACATTGGCTTGGAGTGTTTGTGTAGGGTGAGTGATGGATTTGCACAAATAGAGTTATAAAAATATAAATCCAAAGTTATCTAGATATGTAAATGGCTGATAAAAAACACCTAATATACAAATTGCTTTTTCTCAAATAACTTTGTGAATATATGCATATTTAGTAAAAAATTTAAAATTTGCTTCATCTCAAAAGACTATATATGGAAATACATTTTCTATAAACTAGGAATCTTTTTTTCAAGTTGGATTATATATCCTGTAGCAGCATGAGTCAGCCCAATTTGGCCCCTGGTGTCCACCACTAGTCCTGGGACGTTGGGCTGCCCACCTCCCACAGCAGCAAGAGATGTTCACCCCAGCCCCTGTCACCTACTGCCACATTCATCCACCTTCTGTCCTCCACTTACCACTGCAAGAATACAGTCTCCAGCTGCCACCTACCAGCTGCAGGAGCCTGGCTATCAGCTGGAGAGGCAACAACAGGGTCTGGGTGCCACTGGTTATAGCTCTTAGAGTGGTAATCAGAAGATACGAGATTGAGAGTCAGTCCTGCAGATAGCAGAGCGATTAATTATCTTTTGCACTATAAAGACCAGCACAGATTTCAATAGATTGGACTGAAGAGTCAACTACTACATTGGAAAGAGGTTTTAAGAGTGAATCCTCATCACCAGTTACATCAGCACAAAAAGTAAATAATGGGGAGAAGAAAAAAACACAACAAATGGCAAAGTGAGTCCATAGTGGAACACTTCAGTATGCAGAGAGAACAAATCTCCAGAGCCCAATCACAAATACATGGAAGATCTGTTCCTCCTATCAGATACTGAAATCAAAACTACCATGATAAAGAAATTCAGAGAAAATGAAGAATACAGAGAAAACACAGAAATGTTATCTAAGATTAAAAAAAACAAAATGAATGTCTTGAAAAACAAAATGAATGAACAGATTAAAACTGAGGCTTGAAATAAGATAATGATGGAGATGAAGACAGTAAAATGATCTCTAAAGGAGATGAAAAATTTTGAAAAATTTTGGAGATGAAAGTAGAATATACCAAATGGAAACTTGAATCAGTCATCTTGAAGATGCAAATACTTAAAGAATCCAGGTGAAGGAAGAGAGAAACTAAGTTAAAAAAAAAAAAAAAAAAAGGAAGAATGGGCTTCCCCGGTCGTGCAAGGGGATAAGATGCAGCCTATGAAGGTATCCGCAGCCACTGCAGCAT